GATCTTGAAAGAAATTAAAAGTGCTACTCCAATGAACATACAAATGATAAAAAAAGCAAAACAGCCCTATTGCTGATATGGAGAAAGTCTGAATGGTCTGGATAAAGATCAGACCAGTCACAACATTCCCTTCAGCCAAAGCCTAAACCAGAGCAAGGTCCTAATTCTCTTCAGTTCTATGAAGGCTGAAAGAGGTGAGGAAGCTGCAGAAGAAAAGTTGGAAGTTAGCAGAGGTTGATTCTAGAGGGATAAGGAAAGAATCCACCTCCATAACTTAAAAGTGCAGGCTGAAGCAACACGTGCTGATGGAGAAGCTGTAGCAAGTTATCCAGAAGATCTTGCTAAGGTAATTGATGAAGGTGTCTACATTCAACAACAGATTTTCAATGTAGACAAAACAGCTTTCTACTGGTTGAAGATACCATGTAGGCCTTTAATAGCTGAAGAAGACAAGTCAACGCCTGGCTTCAAGCTTCAAGCGACAGGCTGACTCTCTTATTAGGGGCTAATGCAGCTGGTGATTTTAAGTTGAAGCCAGCGCTCATTTACTATTCTAAAAATCTTACAGTCCTGAAGAATTATGTTGAATCTACTCTTCCTGTGCTCTACAAATGGAACAACAAAGCCTGGATGGTAGCATATCTGTTTACATCATGGTCTGCTGAATAATTTAAGCCCACTGTTGAGATTACCACTCATAAAAAAAATTCCCTCCAAAATATTACTGTTCATTGACAATGAACCTAGTCACCCAAGAGCTCTGATGGAGATGCATAAGAAGATGATTGTTGTTTCTGTGCCTACTAACACAATATCCACTTGACAGCTGGTGGGTCAAGGAGTCATTTCAACTTTCAAGTCTTATTATTTAAGAAATACAATTTGTGAGGCCGGATGCAGTGGCTCACACCTGTAATCCCAGCATTTTGGGAGGCCAAGGTGGGCAGATCACCTGAGGTTGGGAGTTCGAGACCAGCCTGACCAACATGGAAAAACCTCCCCTCTACTAAAAATACAAAATTAGCCGGGCATGGTGGTGCATGCCAGCTATTGTACTTGAGAGGCTGAGGCAGGAGGACCACTTGAATCTGGGAGGCAGAGGTTGCCGTGAGCCAAGATTGTGCCATTGCACTCCAGCCTGGGCAACAAGAGCAAAACTCCATCTCAAAAAAAAAAAAAAAAGAAAGAAAGAAAGAAAGAAATATAATTTGTAAGGCTAGAGCTGCCATAGTGATTCCTCTCATGGATCTGGGCAAAGTCCATTGAAAATCTCTGGAAAGAATTCAGCACTCTATATGCCATTAGGAACGTTTATGATTCATGGGAGGAGGTCAAGATATCAATATTAACAGGAATTTGGAAGAAGATTCAAATTCTCGTGGGCAACTTTGAGGGGCTCAGGACTTAAGTGGAGGAAGTCACTGGAGATGTGCTGCAAATAGCAAGAGAATCAGAAGTAGAAGTAGAGCCTGAAGATGTGATGGAATCGCTGCAATCTCATGGTCACACTTGAATGGATGAGGAACTGCTTCTTAGGGATGAGAAAAGAAAGTGGTTTCTTGAGATGGAGTCTAGTCCTGGTGAAGATGCTGTGAACACTGTTGAAATGACAATAAAAGGCCGGGCATGGTGGCTCATGCCTGTAATTCTAGAATTTTGAGAGGCTGAGGTGGGTGGATCACCTGAGGTTAGGAGTTTGAGTCCAGCCTGGTCAACATGGTGAGACCCTGTTTCTACTAAAAATACAAAAATTAGACAGGCATGGTGGCAGGCGCTTGTAGTACTCAGGAGGCTGAAGCAGGAGAATCGCTTGAGCCAGGAAGGCAGAGGTTGCAGTGAGCTGAGATCACACCACTGCACTCCAGCCTGGGTGACAGAGCAAGACTCTGCCTCAAAAAAAAAAAGTAAAGAAAAAAAATCTTAGTTACTTTCACGTAATGTTTCCCCTGTTCTAGTAAAAGCAAAACATATGTCTGTGAATAACCAAAGAAATACAAAGTGTGTAATTTAGGTGATTCCGCATCTAAGTTAAACGCACTTATCTGATGGTAGAGGTTTCAGTGAGCTGAGATCAAGCCATTGCACTCCAACCTGGGTGCAACAAGAGCAGAACTCTGTCACAAAAAGAAAAGAAAAGAAAAGAAAAAGATGACAACAGAGGATTTAGAATATTCTGTAAACAGTTGATAAAGCAGTAGCAGGGTTTGAGAGAATTGACTCTGTATTAGTCCGTTTTCACAGTGCCAATAAAGATATAACCGAGACTGGGTAATTTATAAATAAAAAGAGGTTTGTTTTTGTTTTTGTTTTGAGACAGAGTCTCGCTCTTGTTGTCCAGACTGGAGTGCAATGGCACGATCTTGGCTCACTGCAACCTCCACCTCCCAGATTGAAGCGATTCTCCTGCCTCAGCCTCCCAAGTAGGTAGCTGGGATTACAGGCACGTGCCACCACACCTGGCTAATTTTTTGTATTTTTAGTAGAGGTGAGATTTCATCGTGTTGGCCAGGCTGGTCTCGACTTCCTGACCTCAGGTGATCCACACACCTCGGCCTCCTGAAGTGCTGGGATTACAGGCATGAGCCACCTCGCCCAGCCTAATAAAAGGAGGTTTAATGGACTCACAGATCCACATGACTGGGGTGGCCACACAATCATGGTGTAAGGTGAAAGATGCGTCTTACATGGCAGCAGACAAGAGACACAGGAGCCAATCAAAAAGGGGAAACCCCTTATCAAACCATCAGATCTCATGAGACTTAGTCACTGCCACGAGAACAGCATGGGGGACACCGCCCCATGATTCACTTATCTCCCTCGGGCTCCCTCCCACAACATGTGGGAATCACAGAAACTACAATTCAAGATGAGATTTGGGTGGGGACACTGCCAAACCATATCAGACTCCAATTTTGAAAGAAGTTCTACTGTGGGTAAAACGCCGTCAAGCAGCCTCACATGCTACAGAGAAATCTTTCATGAAAGGCAGAGTCAATAGATGTGGCAAAGTTCACTGTTGTCTTACTTTAGGATGGGGATAGCAGTGCTGCTCTGAGCGCAGGGCCCTCTGAGGGAGAAGCCCTTTGTGACTGCAGGGGATGCATGTTCGTAAGTGGCCCTGACCCCACCTCAGCATTTCGCAACACAGATCTTACTTCACACTGGTATATTCTCTGTATCTCTCTCTCTCTCTTTTTTTTTTTTTTTAAGAGATGGGGTCTCACTATGTTGCCCAGGCTGGAGTGCAGTGGCTATTCACAGGCACTATCCCACTACTGATCAGCACGGGAGTTTTGACCTGCTCCATTTCTGACCTAGGCCAGTTCACCCCTCCTTAGGCAACCTGGTGGTCTCCTGCTCCCAGGAGGTCACCATATTGATGCCAAACTTAGTGCAGACACCCAATTGGCATAGTGCACTACAGCCCAGAACTCCTGAGCTCGTGATCCTCCCACCTCAGCCTCCTGAGCAGCTGGGACTACAGGCACATGCCACTGTGCCCAGACACACGGGTATATTCTCTAGATTTTACACCCAGGGTCTCTAGAATGAAGGCAGGGAGAGAGGAAAGTAAGGAAGAGCTAGGCCCCAATCACCTGCTAAAGGCCTGGGTGAAAAGATGGAAATGAAAGGACTCTGGCTAGTCCCTTCTTTCCCCTTCCTCCTGTGTCATTTTCAATGTCAATTCAAGAGTTCATTACAACTTAGCTTCTGGTCAACCCTGGAAAAACGCTGCATAGATCACTTTTGTAACTTTAAGAGTTGGACCAGCTTGAGGCACTGGGGAGGGATACATCCTTCCTCTTCACCACACATTTTGTTTTTAGACCTCAGGTACCAAAGCTCTATGATGGAAGCCAGGTTGAGGGCAGAGTGCTTATCTTTCAGACCCCCAAATAAGAAACCCTGGTCTAGGGGAGCTAGAGGACTGGAGTCCAGTATCATCTCCAGTGAAATCCAGCTGGATAAATCCCAAACCCACTTATGGGGAAGGTTGGTGAAGAGCACTCAACTGATTCTTGATATCAAAGTTATACTTCACCCTGTGTTCAGACTCAAACAGAGATTAGGTGCTATCCAAACTAGTTTTTCCACAACCTTTTCTAGAAATGAAAATTTAAGATAGTTCATAAAAGCAGTACTGTCAGGAGAAGATTGGCTGAGGCTATTACTATGAAATTATTTTCATGGCATAAGAACCATCAAGGAGGCTGGGCGCGGTGGCTCATGCCTCTACCTCTAATCTCAGCACTTTGGGAGGCCGAGGCAGGTCAAGAGATCAAGAGCATCCTGGCCAACACGGTGAAATCCCGTCTCTACTAAAAATAAAAAAAAATTAGCAGGGCGTGGGGGCACATGACTGTGGTCCCAGCTACTTGGGAGGCTGAGGTGGAAGAATCGCTTGAACCCAGGAGGCAGATGTTGCAGTGAGCCAAGATTGCGCCACTGCACTCCAGCCTGGTGACAGAGCAAGATTCCGTCTCAAAAAAAAAAAAAAAAAGAACCATCAAAACGGCTTGGTAGCATAATACTTGGCAATCCTTTCTTATTATGGCAGGGTTAGAAAGTAGACACATTTGCACAGCATATACAATAGCTCAAGGATGGAGATCTCGCTGGGTACTCTGGCTGTTCCAGCCTTATGTGAGCTCCAGGGCCTGCTATGATCTCAGCATATCTTAACCTAGTCACTCCACATGACCGGGCATGCGGGTGGGAAGCTCTGCAGGAGTAGATACGTGGTGTTCCCTCCCCAGTAGCCATTCCCCCTTTCTCCTTTCCAACAGTGTATGTTTTCCATTTAAGCGATCGTATGGTTCAGGAAACGGTAATACTCACCCTGGCTTCGAAGCGTGAATGCAAGTCTTGGGCTAAGTCAATTGGTGCATCCATGGCCCTGGCCTTGAGGACTGGGTCCAGCATGGCACTCCACCAGTCCATTAAAAACAAAACTCATGGTTTCGCCTAGACCTCTGTGACAATGATCTCACTTCCTTCAGACAAGGAATGCACAGATATGGACACAGGGACTGATGTGTCTGTTGCACCACTAGGATAGAGCCCAAACCGAAGGAGAAACCAAATACTTGGAAGAGGGTAGAGAGAATGAATGGAGTCCAGGAGCCCTGATTGTATCATAAATGTCGAGATAATTTCATACCTGAGGATTATGTGGTTTGTAAACTTGGCACTTAGAAGAACCAATAAAATTACGTTATAGTTTCAACCGGGTCTAGTTACCTTTCCTCTTAATTGTGACTGGCTATATCCTAACTGCCACAGGCTCTCACACCTTGTCTAATACTAAGGCACCTATGGCAAACACATTTCCAGTAGCAGTAGGGAACAATCTATCCAAATTTCTCATTCATATAGAATTGTCATTAAGAACAAACACCTATTTGAAAGCTGTTTGGCCTGGGTTAGACAAACGATCTCAACTGTGAGGTGCAATAAAGTGAACTGGGACATACAGAAAGCAAACCTACGACACTGTTCAGTTGCTGAGACTCATGGAACCATTGAGTTAAAGCTACTTGTGCTGCCACGCCCCAAGAGATCTAGGGATGTCTAATTGTGAACGATTTCAGAGCAGGCCAGGCACGGTGGCTCAGTCCTATAATCCTAGCACTCTAGAAAGCTAAGGTGGGAGGATCACTTTAGCCCAGGAGTTCAAGACCAGCCTGGGTAACATGACAAAAACCCTATCTCTACAAATACAAAAATTATCCAGGCACAGTGGGGTGTGCCTGTAGGTCCAACTAATTGGGAGATTGAGATGGGAGGATTGCTTGAGCCTGAGAGGTTGAGGCTGCAGTGAGCTTAGATCACCTCACTGCACTCCAGCCTGGGTGACAGAGTAAGACCCTGTGTCCACAACAACAACAGAAAAAGCAATGTCAGAGCAGCCAAATGCAGGAAAATGAGCTCCACTATCAAAGACAAGAACAGTCTTTAATTCTCAATTATTCAAATTCCCAGTTCCATGAGCTTGTCTTAGCCTCAATGTTCTTCACCTACAAAATGGGAAAACATCTGTGTCATAGAGATTTCATAAGGATAAATGAGGTGATGGATGGTGATGTGCCTGGTAAAACATAAATATTATACAAACATGGAGAATTATTTGTAAAGCTTTTTTTTCGGTGGAGGGGATAGGGTCTCAATCTGTCACCCAGGCTGGAGTGCAGTGGCATGATCACAGCTCACTGCAGCCTTGACTTGTTGGGCTTAAGCAATCCTCCCACTTCAGCCACAAATAGCTGGGACTATGAGTGTGTACTACCATGCTCGGTCTCAAACTCCTGAGCTCAAGTAATCCTCCTGCCTTGGCCTCCCAAAGTGCTGGGATTATAGGCATGAACCACCTACCCGGCCTGCCTGCTGCTTTAATCTTATTGACATGTTATAAAGTCAATGATAAAGTTAGGGTTATACATCCAGAATATGTTAGCCGACCCTTGTGGGCTTCTGAGCAGCCACCTAATACAGTCAAAGCTCCCACCCTGCCTGCCTGCGTGCGTCGGAAGGTCGGTTTCCAGCGGTGCTGCGGCTGATGGCTTGGCTGAACTTGCACAAGTCGCTTACACATCTGCACCGCAGTGTCTCCATATGCAAATGCAGGCAATAAAGCTCACCCGTATGGAGAAAGACCATGATGCTGCGTGCTTTCCTCCGCCTCGCTTCTTTGTGCACCTCTTCTGGGTTCAGTCAGAGGCGCCCACAGGCCTTGAGGACCACAAGGAGTGTGATGGGAAAAGTGCAGGGAAAAAGACATTTGTCTTGCTCATTGGTTTTGCTTTCAAAGTACATTTTTTTTTTTTTTGAGAGACAAGGTCTTGCTCTTGCCCAGGCTAGAGCACGATGGGGAGATCATAGCTCCCTGCAGCCTCAAATTCTTTGGCTCAAGGGATCCTCCTGCCCCAGCCTCTGAAGTAGCTGGGACTACAGGCATGTAACACCAAATTCAATGAATTTTTTTTTTTTTTTTGAGACGGAGTTTCGCTCTTGTTACCCAGGCTGGAGTGCAATGGCACGATCTCGGCTCACCGCAACATCCGCCTCCTGTGTTCAGGCAATTCTCCTGCCTCAGCCTCCTGAGTAGCTGGGATTACAGGCACGCGCCACCATGCCCAGCTAATTTTTTGTGTTTTTAGTAGAGACGGGGTTTCACCATGTGGACCAGGATGGCCTCGATCTCTTGACCTCGTGATCCACCTGCCTCTGCCTCACAAAGTGCTGGGATTACAGGCGTGAGCCACTGCGCCCGGCTGAATTTTTTTGTTTTTTTATAGAGATGAAGTCTTGCTATGTTGCCCAGGCAGGTCTCAAACTCCTGACTTCAAGTGATCCTCCTGCCTCAACCTCCCAAAGTGCTTGGATTAGAGGCATGAGCCATCACACCTGGCCTCAAAGTATACTTTTGAAATCAAAGAGGAAATGGAGGAGCAAGGCGTAGGGTTTATGCCGTAAAAATAGGATGAAAAGAGAAGTGAGGAGTTGGCAGATGCACCCCAGCAGGAAAGTGAGGTTCCCAGTGCTGCAGGCCTAAGGAAGAGGAAGATGGGGCGTCCTGGCCTTGGAGACAGTCAGGGCTGGTGATGAGAGGTGCTGATACAAAGGAGGAAATGAAAGAGTCAGGCAGATGGAAGTCTTCCAGCCCAAGCCCTCGATAGGCACTGTGTGCACTCCAGGATTGGAATATACTACCCCAAAATATGGCACCCCAACATTTCAGAGAACTGAAGAAGTAACAAGGTCACTCTCCAATCTTCTCCTCCATTTTCCTCTGAAGAAGGCTGTAAAAGAATTCTCTGACCTTCCTCTGGAGTGGGTCATAAAACCCTCCTGTGAGAGGTGCCCTTTCTATACCCCAGAGAAAAGGAGCATTCTTTTTTTTTTTTTTTTTTTTTTTTGAGATAAGGTCTCACTGTCTCAGTCTGTCGCCCAGGCTGGAGTGCAGTGACACAATCACAGCTCATTGCAGCCTTAACCTGCTGGTCTCAAGCAATCCTCCCACCTCTCAGCCTCCCAAGTAGACTACAGGCAGATGCCAGCACGCCCGGCTAATTTTTGTATTGTTTTTTGTAGAGACAGTGATCTCCCTATGTTGCCCAGGCTGATCTTGAACTCCTGGGCTCAAGTGATCCATTCACCTCGGCCTCCCAAAGTGCTGGGATTATAGGCGTGAGCCACCATGCTCAGCTGAAGAATCCTTATCAATGAACACACAGGGACACAGAGAAGAATCTGAATAAACAGGCCCTGTTAAGTTCCCTTTAGTTTATTACTATGACATCACACTCCCTCTGTCCCATCACACTTCTCCTCAACTGTCCCTTCTTCATCAAGCTTAATAGAAAAACACATTTCCCTGTTTCTTGAGCCTTGGTTTCCAAAGGCTCTTATGTTACATGAAATTTAAATACCTTGGTATACTTTTCTCCTGTTAATCTGTCTTTTGCTATAGGTGCCTCAGCCATGGACATGGCAGTGGGTAAAGAAAAGAATGTTTTTGGGCACAGTGGCTCACAACTGTAACCCCGGCACTTTGGGAGGCTGAGGTGGGAGGATCACGAGGTCAGGAGATCGAGACAGGATGGCCAACATGGTGAAACCCCGTCTCTACTAAAAATACAAAAAATTAGCTGGGCAAGATGGCACATGCCTGTAATCCCAGCTGCTCAGTAGGCTAAGGCAGGAGAATCACTTGAACCAGGGAGTTGGAGGTTGCAGTGAGCCCAGATCGCACCACTGCATTCCAGCCTGGTGACAGAGCAAGACTCCATCTCAAAAAAAAAAAAAAAAAAAGAAAGAAAGAAAGAAAAAAGAAAAGAATATTTTCTCCCCTACAGCAGCCCTGGTGTCAGGCTCTGTTTTAGAGCGTATTTCACTTCTGTGCTATTTGAGTCAAGGCAGCTATTCCTCCAGCTGCCTGCCTACTGCCCATGGTTCATCCTATAGATAAAGACCCTAATTTTCCCCACGTGGACACCTCAAACAGGGAAGGATAACTGACACCAGAGGCTCAGTGGTGGAGGAAGCAAAGCCGAGCTCCTGAACTAGGGCAGCATGGCTCAGTGGTAATCAATGCTCAGGAGGTACTTAGGAAGTTGTTGGGAGAATCAAATAAGATAAATATATAGGAATGTGCTTTAAAATTTCTAAAGTAAGCCCCATGCAATGGCTCACGCCTGTAATCCCAGCACTTTGGGAGGCTGAGATGGGCAGATCACGAAGTCAGGAGTTTGAGATCAGCTTGACCAACATAGTGAAACCCCATCTCTACTAAAAATACAAAAATTAGCTGGGCATGGTGGCGCATGCCTGTAATCCAAGCTACTCAGGAGGTTAAGGCAGGAGAATTGCCTGAACCTGGGAGGTGGAGGTTGCAGTGAGCCAAGATCATGCCACTGCATTCCAGCCTGGGCAACAGAGTGAGATTTCATCTCAAAAAAAAAAAAAAAAAAAAAAAAAAAAAAAATTCTAAGGTATTGGCAATATAACTGCATATAGGCTTTTCCTGGATTATAAACCTTTCACCCAAATTCAACTTGAGGCAAATTGCTCCAGAGAGCAGGTAGTAACATTTCAGATATGGAAAAGTTGGCTTTCTGGCTTGTGACATTTCTGTTATCCTGTGAATTCTCATTGTATCAGCAGCTCTGGATCTCTGTGATTGTGTCTTCTTTTTTGTGTAGTTTTGGAATTTGAGGTTTCAAACTTCAATTTTTGTGCCTCTGGTTCAACCATCCTTTCTTTAAGAAACTGTCTAAATGTACTGTGGCCCTTATCTCACCAGATGGGGAGAATTTAGTACTTCCCTCCAACCATCAGTGTTGCTGAGAATCTTAGGGGAGAGGCCAGGAGCTTATATTTTTATTGACATCTTTTGCTCCAAATTTTCAGTTTTGCCAAAATGTCACCTCATCTCCTACAGTCAGTGTCTCCTTTCCTCCCATATATATTTCACTCTCCTCTGAAAGTCTCATCTTCTCACCCAAGCGCACTTCAGGGGGTCAACCCTGAAAAGAGATTTTGATATATGAGAGAGAGAGTGAGAGAAAGAGTGAGAGAATTGTTTGTGTATGTATATATATTTGTATGTATATACACGTACAGTTCTCTCGCTCTCTCTCTCATACATATGTATGTATGAGAAAGATGTATACATATATATGTATACATACATATATATGAGAGAGAGAATTGTAATGTGTAAAGTTA